AAATTTTTACATGTAGGGGACAACTTTCAGTCCTAACTTCAACAAAACTTTACATATAGGGAATAACTTTCCCATTTTCTTCTCTAAAACCAAGTTAGTTTATCAGCTTATGGGCCATATTGCTTGTCCGGACTGCAGCTTCTTCCATGACATTCTACTGTTCTTTCATCTCCTGTGTCAATTCTCGGAGTTGGTCATTTTTCCTTGTGAGATAACATTTGTGTTCAAAAAGTTTTTGGACAAGATCTTCATGTATGTTGCAACTCTTTTTTAGTTTGGTGACCCCTGTTATCCACTCTTCTGGGGTGTTTCCTATGAAAAGCTTGATTGATCTTCTGGAAATCTTCCTGTATGGTTTCCATTTTGGTGCTCAATTTATTGTTTTCCATCTTTAAATGATGTATTTGAGCCTCGAACCTCAGTAAATCTTCTTCTTTCTGGGCGCCCCTATTGATACTCTTACCTTTGAAGACTTTTGGTATTAATCTAGCAGGACCTTCGGTTACCAAACTAGGTCGATCATTTACCATAAATTGTAAGGTTCCATGATCCAAAAGACTTTGAACTCAATGTTTGAAGGCAAGACAATTCTCGATGGTATGTCCTTGAGCTCTAGCATGATATTCACAATGAACGTTGATGTCATACCAATTTGGATACGGAGGTTGGAATGTTTTTATGTAATATGGAGCCACTTATCGTGCTTCAAGTAACTTTTCATACAACTCTTTATATGATATAGGTATAGCATCAATATGAGAACTACCTTTTGTCTTGGATTGAACCTGAGTTTTAGATGCCTGGAGCAGACTAAACTTTGATGATTTCAGGTTACATGATTTCTTCTTTTCTCTAGGAGCTTTTACAGTTGTCATCATTTCTTTGGTATCTCCAGATGACTTGTGAATACGAATGATGATTGTCTGTAACTTATCCAATTGATTAGGATCAGAAGTCCCTTGCATATATGAAATTGTAAGATTATGTTCATTGATCTCTATATCTTTTTGTGCATGAATCTCTTTTTCTTTGGTCAAAACATATATTCTTTCCATCATTTTGGACATCTACTATCTTATTTTTCGTATCCCCTTTTGCTCTTCAATGGGCATACGATCTTTGGGTGCATAGCTCTCATCTATCCTCGGAGTTCCCTCAGGATGCCTTTTCTTAGCTGCATCATATTTTGTTTGATCATAAAACTTTTTGTCCATTTACGATTTCTTTCCAATATGATGAACAGTCTTTCAAGTCAACACCTTTTGATTATGCCATGATCATGCAATGCAAACAAAAGAAATCCATGCAAACAAGTTAGAGCAAAATAAAATGAGAAAGGAAAATAAATTGGTTAGTACCAATTAATAGAAATAAAAATTCTATCTAACAAGGTATAAATCTTAACCTCATGCTTTCTAGTTCCATGCTTTGTTTGGAAAAATTAACCTAACTGCATGATTTCTAGTTCTCATGCATTTATTTAGGAAAAAGAAAATAAAATAAATCAAAAGACGAAAAGTTAGAACTTATTTCTCCTTTGTGTATACCTATGAACAGAGGTTCAGTACTGTCTTAGATCAGGTGAATTTCTAGGGTTTATTATATGCAGAGTTTCAGTTCTTGGAGTAAAGGTACTCGAATTGTCCTTGTTGATGCCCCCTTGGGCTGCCAACCCTCAATCCTAGTCGACTACAGACTTAAGCAGACCGAGTTCAATTCGAGGGGACACATTTCTTTATGTCTGACACGGAGAATAAATTCTCACGAAGACATAGAGCATATGAACCCCGAAAGCTACTTGCTAGGTCTGACACAGAGAATAAATTCTCACGAAGACGTCGCTTTCACTACCACTTAAAAGGGACAAATCTCAGTTATATAGATTATGTTTATGCAATGCATGTGTTGTGTGTGAGGATAAATGTTCAAACCTCTGACAAATAAATAATGAAATAAAATACTTGAAAAATAAAATGAAACATTAATAAAATAATATAAATATTATGAAAATAATAAGTATATATAAAAATTTTGAAAAGAAAGAATTATAAATTAAATATATTTTTGAATTTTTTTAATTTCTAATAATAAAGACAATTTATATTTGATTTTAAAAGCTTGACCATGGTCCCAGCGGAGTCGCCAAGCTGTCGTAACCGATTTTCGTCCGAGCACGAATTTTTTACTTGGCGGGAAAAGTGATGTGAATAAATGGTTTTTAAAATGTTTTGGGAGTCGCCATCGGCCTTTTGGGTCAGGTAGGTCGAATACCTAAAAATTATCTTTTAAAAGAGTTTTTAAGAAAACATTGATTAAAAGATAAACTGATATGCGTTTTAACCAAAAATTCGTTCTTTTTAACAATAAAAAGGGATTCGTGGTTGGTTACGTTTAGGGAAGGATTAGCACCCCTACAACGCCCAAAATTGGTACTTTTTAATTATAAATTGCCTCTATTATTAGAAATTTAAAAATTCAAAATATATTTAATTTATAATCTTATTATTTCAAAATTATAATTATGAAAAAATATTAATTTATATATATTTATAAATAAAATATTTATTTATTTAGAAATATCAGAAAAGGACTTCTAGGTGCCTTAAGAGAGCTCTTTTATTCGATATTAAAAAATAAATAAATAATTAAAACAATTAATATATAATTTATAAAATAGGATATTTATTTATTTAAAAGTATCAGAAAATGGACATCCAGTTGTTTTAAGACTGCCCTTTCTTAATATTTAAATATTAAAAATAATAATTTTTTCTAATAAAATAAAACAATATGTGTTTTCTGGTTTTTATAAGTAAGATATTTATTTATTTTTAATATATCAGAATAGGACATCTAGTTGCTTTAAGACTGCCCTTTTCTTTGATATTAAAAATAAATAAATATTATTATTTAAACCAAAATATATATATATATATATATATTTATATAAATATAATAATGAAAGTAATAATTTACATATATATTAAAAGTAATAATAAAATAATATTGCAAATAAATAAAATTAAATCAACTACTAATAATAAATGAAATCAAAACTATATAGTAAAAAGCTAATGATTAAATTAGAATATATTAAAAATAAATATCTAATTTGTAAATATCTATTTAATATTTCAGTGACGGAACATGTAATTTTTCCTATTTTAATTTAGTGACTAAAATAAAATTGTATTAAATTCGAATATCAGATTAAAATAAATTAAAAACATGCATTGAGGATTAAAATAATAATTATTAAAATTAAAGGATTAAATCAGTAATTTACCTAAAATATTTATATAAACATATTAATGATTAAATTATAAAGTAAACAAAATTAGAAGACCAAATTAAAACATTTAGAATTTGATTTCAGTGACTAAAATGGAATGTTACAAAATTAAGATGGCTGCGGAAAGGGTTTGGCCAAAAGAGAAATTATAGATATACCCCTCCCCAAAATGGCATCGTTTGGGAAGGGGTATAAATTCCCCAAACGGTTGGCCTTATGGCCAGCACTCTCATTTCTCTTCTCTCTCTAACTGAGAGAGAAGAAAACTCTCTCGCTTCTCTCTAGCTTCCCTCACCGGAGGGAAGCCGATTATCGGCCGGCAGCCGTCTGCCTCCATCGTCCTCACCGTCGGCCACCGCATCCGGTGGCCGGGAAATTTTATTTTATACCAAAACATATATCGGACCGTCCTAATGACGGTTCCGGTGACCTTTTTTCTTAAAAAGCTCCCGATCGGAGCAAATCTATGAAAATACCTTCGGGTTTTGGTTGTTCCGGCGACGGTTGGGGCTCTCCGATGACAGAGTAAGTTTCTTTCCTCTCTTTTCTCTTTTTTTTTCTGGTTGCTGTGTTGTGGGTTCGCTCTGCTTTGGGTTTGCTGTTGGTTGCTCCCTCTCTGTTTTTGCTCGCTGTTCCTTCTCTTTTTTTTTCTGCAGGTGGTCGATGGCTTTTATAGCCATCGACGGTGTGGCTCTCGGACCAGTCCCAAATGGTGACCCTAGGTGAGTCACCATAGCTATGGTGGTGACTCATCGTAGAGCTCAACATGTAGAGAGGCAGCTGGCCTTCTAGATGTTTCGGCGGCGGACGTGTGTTCTTCTGGAACCAATGGCGGCGGCTAGGACGTGGCCCTAGGGTTATCATAATCCTAGGGTTTCTTTCTGGACCGTTGGATCATAGCCAGATCCAACGGCTAATAGTTGATGGCGGCTAGGGTGCTAGGGTTTAGAAACCCTAGCTGAAACCCCAAATTAGTTCAGGGTTTCCTTTTGGGTCTGGGCCGGTTCTGGTTGGGCTTGGGATTTGTATTTGGGCTCCCGGGATTTGGGCTTGTAATTATTTTTTAATAATAATAATATATATAATAATATATATAATATTAATAATAATATTAATTTTAATAATAATAATAATAAAAACAAAAATGAAAAAAATTAGTGTTTACAATATGAATAGTCGGGTGACAATTTTATAACTTTTAATAGTTGAGAGACTCAACAAAGAAATACCTTAAAGTTGAGAGACTCAACAAATCAACACCTTATAATCGAGTAGCTTTTAATTGTTAGTGGATCACCAAAGTAGCACCTTATAATCAGGTGAATTTAATGTATTATAGCACAGTAACAGCTGAGCAGTTAACTATTAGTAACACCTACCAGTTATAGCCGATTAATGTTGTCATTACAGCGAGCAGAGGGTTGTAACAATTATGCGTCCAGATTTACCCGAATTAGATTTGAACAAAAATAGTTACCAAAATTAAGTTGTAATTAATAGCAAAATTATTATACATTTAGGATAAATGTTTAGAATTTCAATTTTACAAAATTATTTAATGAAATTTTGTTACTATATAGGGAGTTATCAAGCCACGCTCAACAACAAATGAAAATAAAATCTCCTTAAATACCCTTCCAATTGTTTATTCCTTCTCAATATGGGATATATGCCTTTTACTTACCTTAAAGTATTACTAACCCATAACAATTATTATTAGAAATATTAGCTTGCATTGAACTGCAATGGTAGTAAAAGGAACGAATTCTTCACATCAAGTTCCTCAAATTCAAATTAATATGGAATTCCAACTACAAGCTCCATCCTGAAGAAGAATAGTTTATATACTTGAGGGAGATGGAGAGGGAGTAGTTCAAATTAAAACCTTCTATATTGATGAGTAATCAACAAACTGTTTCTTTGCGTTCCATGTATGCAAAATCTTGCCATAAACATCGTAAAACACAATCTCTGCATCAGATTGGGTTAACTTGACTGACATGAAACCTTGACCATCATAGAAGAATTTTAGTCCCTCTCTGTTTAGTCGTTTGACATCACCCCTCCATGCTTTAGACCCTGCCCCGCTGGTTAGAAACTGTATGGGACTGCATTAACCAGTAAATGTCCTTCGCTTTAGTCACTGATATCAACATCATACAATAAATGCTAGAATTGATCATTGAAATTTCCCATTTTTCCTTACCTCTCTGTGTCACTGATATGTTCTAGGCAGTGGTCATGTCCATTCATGTAAAAATCAACATCATTAGCCTGCAATTTTTCCAAGGAAATACCAGATCGATTCAGTTAGTTTATTTTAGATGCTTCAACTGCTAGAATTTAGTGAACAAAACCGATTTCTTCAAGCTTTTTTAAGCATGTGTGTGTTAGAAATCACCTTGAGAATGGGAAGGAGATGAGTAGCAAGTTCGGGAGTATCACCATGATGCCCAATACTTCGAATTGCATGGTGTCCTACAACAATCTTCCATTTTGCACTTGATTCTCTTAATGCACGCTCCACATCCTACATGTATATCCGAAGAATACTGAGTCTTTCAAGTTTTCTCTTAATTTATATTTTCATTATTTGAATCAAATCGAATTCGGCTGTTACTAAGCAATACCTTCAACAAATTGTTAACGTAATGTTTGCGAGGATGTACTCCGCGCCAATCATAAGTGTGATCTTCAGGGTCTAGGAAGTAGCTCTTCACGAAAGGTGTGGTGTCCACAAAGATTATCTCAGCTAGTTCTGCCCCAAGGTTTACTCACCATCTTATTCGATGATTCCCAGTTAAAAAAAGAAGAAGAAGAAAAAGAGGTTACTTACCGGCATCGACGATGAAGGATCTAAGACAACGCCATCTGCTGTCAATTTTTCTAAGAAGAGGACTCAATTGAGCCTCGGCATCACCCCTGTAATCGTGGTTGCCCAACACTGTATGAAATTAAATTGCCAAAAACAATAATGTTAAACAGCGGCCAGGCAACCAAGGAAATAGAATATTGAAGTAAAAACGGGAACATACCGGAGAACCACTGTTTTTGGAGGCTGTTTGCGGTGTAAATATTGGTGAAAGACTGTTCAAACGCTGGATCATGTGGGCCGTTCAATCCATTGTCGTAAAAATTATCTCCCGATGAAACTACGAAATCAATGTCCAGCTTCTCTCCTATCTTTCCCATCTATACGAAAGCACGTATTTATTATAATTACTTTAACATGTAAAAGCTACGTAAAGCCAGAATGCAAATTCATGGAACCATATGTTTACTGGTTAGTGTGTGTATAGATGATGAAAAATGAACCTGGAAAGCAACTTGGGATTGGTTAAAAGCGCCTCGTCTGCCCCAGTCTCCGATGACCAAAAAGCTAAGGGAACATTCGCCTTTGCAGGGCTGCTCAAATCTCTCAAGCTCTGCTGCCACACATAACCCACATATTATGCTCAATATGATAAACCAGTGATCACCCATTTTTCTGAGTTTCCAACGTTGTCCGTTAAAATTATACAGATTCGGACACTGAGAGCTGTGCGGCTGCCAACGTAAACCAACCATTAATAGATTGACATGTTCATTTATTGTATTCGGCTGTTAGTTTTAGATTATTAGTTTTTGTTTAGAGATAAATATAGGGAAGAGTGCATGGCAGAAGAAAATGGGATATGCGAATCTGCCAGTGGAACATTGTGGGCTTAGGGGATAATACCCTTGGAATATTCGCTTCTTTGACGCCGTTCGCTAATCACGCTCCTACCAAAACTTTTTTGGTCTCTTTCCATTTCAGTTTTTCTGTTATTGATGTTACTGTATTTAGAAAGAGGACTTAATTTTATTAATAAACTGGAAATTTAATGGATAAACAACAACACTAGTAGTTTATATTTTTGGCCCGTTTGGTTTTGGTCATCCATTCAAAAAGTTTGATACTGGTCCCTTTATCGGTTCAATACATTTTGTTCTATGGGCTGTTTCCCATGTAATTTGCTTCAACCATTACATTATTTGAACGTTGATCATGATTCAAACTTCAACTTCTTAATTTCTTGATCATAAAGTAAAATACATAATCAACGAACCTGAGTGTTTTTTTTCACCTAATTTTCAAAGCTAGAACTTTCAAAATCTATTATCTTTCCGAAACACAGAGAGAGGCAGGGAATCAAAGTCCATGTGCAAACTCATCCATGGCGGGGTCTCAGACAATAAAATAAACCCTACTTTTTCGCAGACAATCAAGCTTTCTTTCTCGTTTTTGATTAATGGCCAAGGACGTTGAGGTTGGTGGGGAGTTCCATGCCAAGGACTACCATGATCCTCCACCAGCTCCATTGGTGGACGCCTTGGAATTGACTCAGTGGTCTTTTCTATCGGGCTATAATTGCCAAGCTCATCGCCACGCTGTTGTTTTTGTACATCACTGTATTGACGGTGATCGGATACAAGAGCCAAGTCGATCCCAATAAGGGCGGTCAAGATTGTGATGGGGTTGGCATTCTTGGCATTGCTTGGGCCTTTGGTTGCATGACTTTCATCTTTATTTACTGCACTGCTGGTATCTCCTCAGGTATGTAGTTATATTTGAGCGATATGTTTAAAAAATATTTTTCTAACATGTTTCTTCATATGTTCCTAGAAAAGATTAGCCAAAAGAGGAGATTTGATGACTAATAGTTTAGATGAAATTAATATGTAGGCGGACTAATAATTGTTTGTTTACACTGTTTTCTCTGCAACTGATCCCAAGAGAAATGCAAGAGATTCCCATGTCCCTGTATGTCTCTAATTCATCCAATTTCCACACATTTCTTAAAATCCTCATTTTGGTTTGATAAGTATGTTAGTTACTAATGTATTCTATTTTCTAATGTAGGGTCTTGGCACCACTTCCTATAGGGTTTTCTGTTTTCATGGTTCACTTGGCAACTATTCCAATCACCGGACCGGTATCAATCCTGCTCATACTTTCGGATCCGCTGTTATGTTCAACCAGTACAAGCCACGGGATGACCATGTATGAGCCTTCACCATGTACAGTTGATTCTAATTTCGGTTTTATTTCTATAATACACCTTTATTACTATTGATGCTTTTGTTTGAAATTTTGCAGTGGATTTTCTGGGTTGGACCATTCATTGGAGCTGCCATTGCTGCAATTTATCACCAGTATATCCTCAGAGCAGGGGCTGCTAAAGCTCTTGGATCCTTCAGGAGCAGCTCAGCCATGCGAAGTAGACTTTTCAGACCATTGCGTTTGTAAATTACAGTGGAAAAGTGCCATGCTTCTTTCTATTTAGCACTTATTTTTGAAGTGCCCCAAGTGTTGTCTCCATCCCTGTTTTTCTTTGTACAGAATCTAAGTTATTTATCAAACTTTATTAAAATGAGTTCAATTCAATGTCCAACTTTATTTAGAACTTTGATTCAACTGGCATTGAACGTGTAACAAAGATTAGCATATCAACGATAGATCGAAGAAAGAGAGTAATCAAAAGATCAGAACATAACAACATGTGAACTTCTATTAGCAAACTAGAGATAATAGTGGTTGTTTATTTAGTATGGTGCTCAACCACAACAGCAACATAAGTTCTTCTGCACATGCCAGATGCAGGAAACCAACCCTGACAAAGATAACAAGTAGGCGCCACAACGATGGCGCCTGCAGAACAAGACCAATACATATATCACTAAAGACTTAAACAAAGCAATGTCTTAAACAAGAGTTCGCCATTTAAAATGGGCCGTCTAATCTCCCCACCATTGGTGTACATAAACACCAGCTCTTCTAAGGGACTTGAAGAGACCCATACAGCATCCCTTCACTGCTCCTCCACTGTCGGTTGCATCTGAGCAGTGAAGAAAAAGCTCATCAATGAAGCATATGATACCGCTTTCGAACAAATCTGATAGAAGTTGTAACTCCACTGCACCTGAATTCATCTTCATAACCACACAATCTGCATATTGGACAGTATCTTTGAACCAGAGATGAAACTCAAACTCTTCATCTTCAACAAATGGATCCGAATCATCTATATTGTCAGAATCTATGGAAGCCTTATTCATTGAACTCGATGAAATTCGGTTTTCAGCAAGGCCCGGGTAATAAATAAAGTTGATACCAGGCCTTTTGACATAGGATTGCATCACTGAAGGATTGTGATCAACAAAATAAACATTGAAGGCTTGGTGATCCAGAGGATTAGATGGAAAGAACCAGCTTGTAACATTTGAGTTCCAATGCTCACTGGCCCCTATATCGATATAGACCAGACACTGCTTCGTAGATACATTAACAAACTTGGGCAACTAAGCAATGTTTTTCTCAAACTCCATTGGCTTCTCCCCCATAAGAGGCTCGATTTGATTCAATACAGCTTTGTTGTTTGTCATAGATGGGCAATCAGCAGGGAGACGATATTGCTCGAAGGAAGTGGTGTTTTCGAGTTTTTTCTCGAATTCAACTAATGTAATTTCATTGAAATGATCAACATAAATAACAACGGAAGCTTTCAATAGAGAAGAAACTGGGGTAGCCGACCTAATAAAGCTAGCAGGGTTTGAACCACTAAGACAAATGAGCATAGCCCCAATTCCACCAGGCCTAAGAACACGTTCAATCTCAAGCACAAGAAGCACAGGGACAGATACATTATCTGAATCCCTGGATAACACAAAATCATGAGAATTGTCCTCATAATCCAGTTCATAAACAAACTTCTTATGCTTGACAGAGAAGAAGGGGTGCCTATAAACCTCATTAACTTTAGAGAATCCCAAGTCTCTCAATGCCATAACAATTTATACTGAGCCTTCACCAACACATAGAGCTTTCGCATTGTAACTCAACAGTTTCTTTCCCATTAGCTCTCTAACCACGCCGGTTGTCAAGTTCCCATCTTCCTTACATTGAAGTGATCCAAATGAGCCACATACTTCGCTGAAGAACACGGTGCCTGGAAACATAAATGAAGCTGAAGAACCAGATTCAAGGGCACAGTCTGCTGAGGTTACAGCATTTGTGGATCGATCCCAGATATGATTTGGAGCAATGGAACAATTGACAATGCAACAGCAAATGCTAGACCACGTAAAAGCACACGTCTCGCTAAAGACCCGCGAAAGATCATCAGTTTCAAGTTCTTAGAATCCATAGTCTTTTAACTCTTTCAAACATGATATATATCCAAAAAGATCCAATCTTTGATTGCTTTTTCACACTAAAGTAAGAAAATCAGGAGAAAATGAACCCAAAACAAACCACGGAAGCAAATCTAGCGAGTGCAAAACCGGGATGATGTGTGATTCCCGCCCACAAGTAGACCCATTGATCTTTGAGCAGTTAGCCAGACCTTCATTGGAACCCTTCTACTTGGCTTCATTATTTCAGACATTATAAAGACTTGAACTTTAACTACTCTAAATTACATCTTTTGATGAAATTGCCCAACCTATATCTGGGTTTCAGATTTTGACTGAAACACAGAAAATGAAAATGAAAACACAATTCTTTTTTGAGTTTTGTATGAAGAGATTTAGGTGCTTACTCGCATGACATGGTTGAAGTGAAGGTGCTAAAGGTATATATGGAGCAATCAAGAGCAATAAACGGGTAGATCTGGGTCTGTATTATTGTAACTACACCACCAGAAGCAGCTAAGCAAAATAAAGAGAGTGTGGGATGAAGATTGTTGAGACACGGTTGAGGTGGGAGAAAAAGCATGCTTTTGAGCTGAAAAGATTGGGCACCTGCAAACCAGTTACATCTGACAATGGCTTATATGTGGATTTGATCAAACTGATATTGTTTAATCGAATATTTATCTTTTTAACATCGTTTGATATGTATTTTTCGAATAGACACTATTTCGTTTGAGTTGGCGAAAGACGCATCTCGGGGACGCAATTTACCCGGGTTTTCGCTGAGTTAAATGTCACGTGTGGAAGGCGCATCCCCGGGGACGCGTCTTCATGAGATTCTAATGACTCGGTTGTCACGTGTGGAAGGCGCATCCACAGGGACGCGCCTTCCATTAAATACCATAAATGCCCTCATCCATTTTCCCCTAACTACCCCTCATCCTCCCCTATATAAATTCCCTCAACCCTCCCTCATTCTTCACACCAAAATCATATTTTCCTCTCTTATATAACTCAAATTCTCCAACTATTTGAGTTTTTGAGTTTTAAATTTTTTATTAGTGGTAAGAAATTTATTTTTATGTTAGTATTTTTTTAAATAGTTTTTATATTTTATATTAATATAATTATATAAATATTATTTTTTATTTAGAATTATTAATTATTTTTTTGTGCTAATTATATTGTTTTGTCTACAGTTATAATGGAAAACGAAATGCTGCTGCGATTGGATGTTGATCATATCTCCAGACATTTTAGCGATATGGTAATATTTTTTATAATTAATGTTAATATTTAAATTTATTTTTAATTTAAAGTTATTATGAATTTATATTAATTTTAATTTTTTATAATGTATAT